TAAAAGTCAGAAGGCTCCAAGACTTAGCACTGGTGTCCACATGTGGCTATCAGCAAGGAAGCCCACCTGCAGGGAGAAGAGTGGAGCAATATATAGGAAGGAAAGAGGAAAGACATGGTTTCAGAGGGAAAGAGATGGAGAGAAAAATTTCCTGATGGTTGTCCAGTTCCACACAGCCAGATCTGCTGCCTGCTCTGGGCTTCCTCTCATGTAACCCCCTGCCTGTTTTTTTTCCAGTACTAGAAATTGAACCCAGGGGTGATCTATCACAGAGCCGCATCGGCCAGCTCTTTTTATTTTTAACTTTGACACAGGGTCTCAATAAGTTGTTGAGGCTGGACTTGAACTTGTGATTCTCCTCCTTTAGTCCCTTGAGTTGCAGGGATTACAGGTAGGCACCACTGCCTCTGGTTTATGTATCCTTTAGAGTTTGTTTGAAGGATTCCGGACAAGTAGCCCCTCTTTCCAGACCTGCCTGAGTTTTCCCCATTCTTGCAAGTCTCTTGAGTCCTCCCATCCACAGAATTTGATCATTGCTTATCCACTTAGTTGTTCCTGCCTCTTAACCATCCCATAAATAAATCATGAAGGAAGAACTGAGCCCCATAAGGATTGGAGTTGAATGAGCTATCATTCAGGCCTCTGACTTCCCAAATACGTATGTATGTGCTCTCCAGCCCGTGGCCAGAAGGGACTACAGAATGTTCCATCGAATCCCAATCAGGAAATAAGTATTTCCCAAAGTGAGTTCCAGGGCACCCACAGGATCCTACTGTCAAATGTGCTTGTGAAATAGTGGTTTCAAATGGTTCCACTTGGTTGACACTTCTCGGGGGTGGGCTAGGATACATAAGGGTATTTTTGAATGTTCATAAGGAGAATTGAGAATGAGGCAGTTCCTGAATAAATCTGGCCCCTGCACCCTATGGCAGGAAGTATATCCCAGAGTTTACTCTAAAGTCCACTGTGGCTTGCAGCAAAGGTCTGGCCCCCCTGTTTCAGACAGAGAGACCAGGAGATATGTGTTCCTTGCATGTCAGGCAGGGCTGGCTCACCACTTTCTTTCTTTTTTAAAATATATATTTTTAGTTATAGTTGGACACACATAGTTTTATGTGGTCCTGAGGATCGAACCCAGTGCCTTGCATGTGCTCGGCGAGTGCTCCACCACTGAGCTAGAACTCCAGCCCTTACCACTTTCTTTTCAGAGTGACATCTTTTACATCTCTTGCAACATCTGTAATGGGAGAGGGAAATTAAGAAATATGTTAGCGAATGCAAGAAACCAAAAACCCACAGAGGGAAAGAAAGGCAAGCTCTTGAAGGCAGCTCACCTCACCCTTCTCCACCCTCTGCCATGGCTTCTTAGGGCCCAAGCTTGCTACATATGTTAAAATTTGTGTCACCTGGGATGACTGGTTCAGATTCTAGAAGCTAAGAGCTTGTACAGAGTTTTAAGAATGAGGTATTTTGTGTTCACATCACCTCTTTTTGAACTCAGGAAGGACTGGAGTGAAAATCATCAGTCTCTTGTAGCTGTGTTTCTAGCTAGTCTTTCCAGGGGTAGTGTGAGTGTGCTGGTGGGTTGGGAAGTTTAGGAGCTGGGGATTGAAAGGGGGGATGGAAGGCCAGCAAGGAGCTGGGACAAAAGTCTCTGCTCAAAGAGGCTTGGACAAAGGTTCATAAAGTCAGCTCTGATGATCCTCTGTTGGTGATTAAGTACACTCAAGTGACATGCAGATGGAAGGGTGGGACCTGTAGTATCCAGAGCCACTGAGATTGACTTTGTCTTGTCTCTGCTTTGGTTGCCAGTTCCCACCCTTACAATCTCTGGTCTGAGACTTCAGCGATGACCTAATTTGTCTTTCCCCCACCCCCAACCTTTACTTGGTGACTCTGGGTTGGTCACCTCATGTGCTCAGTGATAAAAAGGGTGGGGCTGGATGACCTCGGGCCACCCTGAGCCTCCACCTCTGTCTGAATGGTCTCCAGAGTGCTGGGAAGTAAAGAGGTCTGGGTGAGTCTGAAAGGCATGCTTTTGGTATGGACTCGCCACCCATGATCTTGAAGGTTTGTTTTAGGGTGGCTCTCTGATGGGGTTTCCTTATATTTTGAAACAAACTTTTCAGAAATCTCCTGGTATTTCCCTCCACTCCTCTTCCCTCCTCATTTTGGCTACGTTGGTACTGCCTGTAGAGGGGTTTCCCAAGGCTGGTTTCTCTGTAGTTTTCCAATAGCTCACAATGGCCGTCCACCGGCTCAGGTGAGCTCAGTCAGGTGGGGGTGGCAGGAGAAGTGCCCCGTGTTGATTCTCTGTAGAGGAACCTACCAGTTTAGCTACCTGGGAGTGATGTGCAATCATATTTTTATTTATGTCACCAGCAGGGTGTCCTGTTGGACTCTCTGCTTTCATCCTCTCCAAAGGCAGCTGGTTGATGTGGCCTTAACAGTGGGTGGCCATTCTCTGGAGACTTGGAGAAGTGACTGCGCAGTTTGCTGGGTGGCTTGCAAATTGTCGGTCCGGTTCTAGGGAGCTCACAATGAAGACGTGACTTGTTTTCGCTCCAGGCCTACAAGTCAGCAGGGGCTTGAGTTCAACCCACTAGAGAGGCCCCACTGGCATGGCCTTTAGGGCCCGCCTCTTGGTCTGTAATGGCCACCCTCCCTTCCTTGGCAGATACTTGGCCACCTGGGCTGGAGCTAGGATGCCTTTCTTCTGGGGGCATGGGGTGCATGCTGGAGGAGGGTTCGGGCGGCCCTGGGAGCTCTGCCAAGACGCAGTAGTTGAGAGAAGTGGAATCTCCTCACCATCACAAGCCTCGCTCTCATCATAATTCTTTTTATTTTTACTTTCGAGCCTTGTAAGGCATGCGGATGGGGTAGGAGCGTTCCGGCGACACGTTGCCAGCTGTGCAGCGCCGGCCCGCCCGTGCGGCCCGAGCCA